TGTAAAAGAAATACAACAGGGGACATAAATATATACATCCTCATCTTCAAAGACAACACACAATGTGTTGATAGCCCCCAGAGGCATAAACATGAGCACACAGCTGCTCACCAGACAGCCTGGCAAGGAAGTCAGGACACATAGAAACAGCTTAGATCTGTGGGAACCAAGAGCTTCTGCATGTGATTAAAGTTTTGTGGCTAGTAGGAAGTTTAACAAAGTAATAACCAAGGGTTTGTGTAGGTTTGAAGGTTCTAAAATGGTTGATGGCAGCTTCAAGGGAGGGATCTTAAAAAGGAGAAGGATAAAAGAACATACGGATTTAGTAAATGGCATGAAACTCGTTGAATGATTTAAGTGGTTGCAAAGAAATTTCTGTGAGCGTTGACCCCTAAGGAGACAAAAGAATTTATGGCACTCAGTAAAAAATGCCACCAGCATAAACAGGAAAGACATAATGGAGTAAAGACAGTTAAAAACAGGTAAAGCAGACACAGATGTAGGCGTATAATAATGGCAGACTGCTTCCAGAGGGTATGTGGGTTAACACAATTAACCTCATGGTTTGAGATTTTTGAACTTGGATTTTTATATGTTTTATATATAAAACCCTGACCTCAAGATATAAGTATATATAAATAACAATATATATTTAAAACAAAACAGACTATAGACAACAGACAATAAAGATTCACGACTTTCATTCAAAAGTGGAGAACATAAAACAAACAGAACTGCTGAAGGATTATCTTTAATTACGTTATGCCAATAGTAAGTCACCACTCATGCAATAACCATAATATTTAAAAGAAGCGCTATGGACCCTACATCTAAAGTGAAGTCTAATTTTCACCAAATGTGGAAAAAAGAAAAGGCAATTATTATCTTTCTCATGACAGGCGCTGCAATAACAACAGGGTTATTTGTGCCAAAACAGCACAGAGCTTTCATATTAAAAAAAAACTTACAGAGGATCATGTGGAAAGAAGAAAATCCACTCAGTTGCTATGTAATGCTCACAAGATACTGAATAATTAATCACAGATTAATTAGATTTCAATATAATTTAGTTCAGTTGTCCTGTGTAACTGCATTTGTTGTTCAGTCAGATTCAGCCTCTAATTGTTTGTTATACAACATTTATCTCTAGCTTTATGGTTTTGCTGGTTTTATATTTATTTTTGATCAAAACATACTTCAGTCTCTCTGTCTGTGTTACTTACAGTGCACTTAAATGTAGCCTGACATAATAGTTTCAGTTTTCTATTTTCACCTTTTTACAGCAGACAAAGAGGGCTGAAGACCAAAATGGCTGCTGTGCTTCACAAACACAAATGCTGCACAGAGGATGATGAGACTGTGCCGGTTACCACGTGCTTCTTCCCTTCCCCCTCCTGCCTCTCTCTTTCTCTCCATCTCCTCTCAACCTGCTTAGGATAAATTGTGACTGTTCCCTTTACACCTGCAGTACATTTTAAACAGTTAAACCCCAAAACACTGTATCATTCTTTGATCATATTTATTGAATTGAATGAACTAACTTTGTTATATTCAAGAGGAATTCCACCCTGGCTTTTGTATTGCAATCACAACTGCTGCTGTAAAATGTGCAGCCCAAAACCCACGGCTGTAAACTGCTATGAAGGGAACTAGGTCACTGAAAAGTAGTCCACTGCATGGTTGTGTTTTTCTCTGTGAGAGCAATCTGTAGCAAAGCTTTAGCAGGGATGAAGCCCTGAATTATTTTTATTTTACTATGGCAAGATAGTAAGAAGACTATCTATGATAGCCATACAGCACATTATAACTCCTTTTTGCATTTTTCAGAGTAAGAGGTCTCAACATGGAAAGCACATTGTTATGTGTTTCGTCAGCACATAACATCAAGCGTCACTGCAAGATGAGGCAAACATTTGCCAGCACTACTATATGACAAATTTAACAAATAATTAATATGATAAAGAAACAATGAAAACAAGATGGAAATACTAATTTAATAAGATGACTGTAGTGTCATAAAGCAAAGACAAAAGTACACCCTTGCTGATTCATGCCCTACTGAGCATGAATCAGCATGAGAGAATGTGCAGTAACAAAAAATATTGATTCATTTTCAAAACAACTGAAAAGTATCTGTTTAGGCTTGTAGACTATACCAGTGAAGAAAT